ACCTGCCTGGAGGGACCCTCAGAAGGTCCCCATCCCACCCCAAAGGACCTTGAGGAACCTTGGTCCCATTCCCAAGATCCCCACAAGGCCCTGGTCATGATCGTGGGACCTCCTCAGGACCCCAACCCTGCCCAGGGGACACTTCTTGCACCCCAATCCTCCCCCTGGGACCCTCTTAGGATCCTGCTCCTGCCCCAAGGACCCTCCTGAGACCCCAGGGACCCTCATGGGACCCCAGGTCCTGTTCATGGGACCCCGACCTGCCCAGATGGACACTCAGAAGGTCCCCATCCCACCCCAAAAGACCTTGAGGAACCTTGATCCTGTGCCCAAGACCCCCACAAGACCCTGGTCATGGCCGTGGGACCTCCTCAGGACCCCAACCCTGCCCAGGGGACACTTCTTGCACCCCAATCCTCCCCCTGGGACCCCCTCAGGATCCTGCTCCTGCCCCAAGGACCCTCCTGAGACCCCAGGGACCCTCATGGGACCCCAGGCCCAACCTGTGGGACCCTGGAACTGCCCAGATGGACACTCAGATGGTCCCCATCCCACCCCAAAGCACCTTGAGGAACCTTGGTCCCATGCCCAAGATCCCCACAAGACCCTGGTCGTGGCTGTGGGACCTCCTCAGGACCCCAACCCTGCCCAGGGGACCCTTCTTGGACCCTGATCCTCCCCCTGGGACCCCCTTAGGACCTGCTCTTGCCCCAGAGGACCTTCACCACTCTCTGTCCTAAGGACCCTTGGAGGTCCCCAGGCTTGACCCGAGGGACCCTGTAGGACCCCAGTTCTTCCCCCATGATCCCTGCAGGACCCCGATCCTCCCCCTGGGATCCCCTCAGGATCCTGCTCCTGCCCCAGGGACCCTCCTGGGACCCCAGGTCCTGCTCATGGGACCCCGACCTGCCTGGAGGGACCCTCAGAAGGTCCCCATCCCACCCCAAAGGACCTTGAGGAACCTTGGTCCCGTTCCCAAGACCCCCACAAGACCCTGGTCATGGCCGTGGGACCTCCTCAGGACCCCAACCCTGCCCAGGGGACACTTCTTTGACCCCGATCCTCCCCCTGGGCCCCCTTAGGATCCTGCTCCTGCCCCAGAGACCCTCGTGAGACCCCAAGGACCCTCCTGAGACCCCAGGGACCCTCATGGGATTCCAGGCCCAGCCTGTGGGACCCTGGACCTGCCCAGAGGGACCCTCAGAGGGTCCTGATCCTGCCCCAAAGGACCTTGAAGGCCCTTGGTCCTGTCCCCAAGATCCTCCTGAGACCATGGTCATGCCCCAGAGACCCTCATGGGACCCCAAGGACCCTCCTGAGACCCCAGGGATCCTTGTGGGACCCCATGCCCAACCTGTGGGACCCTGGACCTGCCCAGAGGGACCCTCAGAGGGTCCTGATCCTGCCACAAAGGACCTTGAAGGACCATGATTGGGTCCCCAAGACCCTCCTGAGACCACGGTCCTGCCCCAGGGGACCTTCATGGGACCCCAGTCCTGCCCCACAGACCCTCATGGGACCCCAGTCCTGCCCCAGAGACCCTCATGGGACCCCAATTCTTCCCCACAGACCTTCATGGGACCCCAATTCTCCCCTACAGACCCCCTCAGGACCCCTCTCCTCCTCTGGGGACCCTGATGGGACCCCACCACAGCCACTTGTCCCAGAACCACCTCAGGGTGACAACTCACGTCACCCACAGGGCAACACCGGGGGGTGGTGGGGGGTGTCCCCACATGGGGACAGGCACCGCGGTGGCCCCCCAGCCCCCCAACTCTCCCACATCCCATCCCCCCCAGCTCCCAGCCCACCTACCTGTGCCCAGGACAGGACTCCACGGGTGATGGGCACCTCCCGGGGGGTCCCACCGCGGGGTCCCCGAAAGGCCCCTTGCCGGTCGAGGGAGTGGGGCCGGGCACCCCTCAGCCGTGCCCGCTGGTGCCAGGACAGGAGCTCCTCGGTGACGGCCGCCTTGGAGACCCCCCGGCCACCCCCCGCCGGCGCGTAGTCCTTGAGCGAGGGGGTGCGCACGATGCGGCTGTGGGAGGCCACCAGCCTCTGGTAGCGCAAAGGGGCCAAATCCTGCTCGTAGAAGAAAGTCGGGGGTCCGGCGGGGGGCAGGAGGCGGGGGGCACCCCGGGGGTGGTAGCCGGGTTGGGCCAGGGGGAGCGGGGGGCGCGGGAAGGAGACGTCGGGGCTGCTGCTGCCCGGGGAGGTGGCGTGGGAGATGCTGGAGAGGTCGGAGATGCTGTCGTCGGAGCCGGAGCGGTGGGTCGGGGGGTTTTGGGGGGTCAGGCAGGAGGTGGGCACCGTCACCGTGTAGTAGGTGGGGCGGCGGCGGGGGACGGCGCTGCGGCCCCGCGGCTCCCCGGGCTGCCAGCACGTCTCCACCCTGCGGGCAGGAGGACCACGGGTCACCACGTCCCGGGGAAAGGGTGGCCATGGTGGGGGCTGAGCACCCCCATGGGTGCAGCAGCCCCATGGGGTTGGTTCCAGCCTCCTCCCCGTTGGGTTAGCTCCAACCTCCTCCCCATGGGGTCATCTCCATCCTCCCCATTGGGTTGTCTCCAACCTCCTCCCATGGGGTTATCTCCTGGGCCCCCTTAGGATCCTGCTCCTGCCCCAGAGACCCTCGTGAGACCCCAAGGACCCTCCTGAGACCCCAGGGACCCTCATGGGATTCCAGGCCCAGCCTGTGGGACCCTGGACCTGCCCAGAGGGACCCTCAGAGGGTCCTGATCCTGCCCCAAAGGACCTTGAAGGCCCTTGGTCCTGTCCCCAAGATCCTCCTGAGACCATGGTCATGCCCCAGAGACCCTCATGGGACCCCAAGGACCCTCCTGAGACCCCAGGGATCCTTGTGGGACCCCATGCCCAACCTGTGGGACCCTGGACCTGCCCAGAGGGACCCTCAGAGGGTCCTGATCCTGCCCCAAAGGACCTTGAAGGACCATGATTGGGTCCCCAAGACCCTCCTGAGACCACGGTCCTGCCCCAGGGGACCTTCATGGGACCCCAGTCCTGCCCCACAGACCCTCATGGGACCCCAGTCCTGCCCCAGAGACCCTCATGGGACCCCAATTCTTCCCCACAGACCTTCATGGGACCCCAATTCTCCCCTACAGACCCCCTCAGGACCCCTCTCCTCCTCTGGGGACCCTGATGGGACCCCACCACAGCCACTTGTCCCAGAACCACCTCAGGGTGACAACTCACGTCACCCACAGGGCAACACCGGGGGGTGGTGGGGGGTGTCCCCACATGGGGACAGGCACCGCGGTGGCCCCCCAGCCCCCCAACTCTCCCACATCCCATCCCCCCCAGCTCCCAGCCCACCTACCTGTGCCCAGGACAGGACTCCACGGGTGATGGGCACCTCCCGGGGGGTCCCACCGCGGGGTCCCCGAAAGGCCCCTTGCCGGTCGAGGGAGTGGGGCCGGGCACCCCTCAGCCGTGCCCGCTGGTGCCAGGACAGGAGCTCCTCGGTGACGGCCGCCTTGGAGACCCCCCGGCCACCCCCCGCCGGCGCGTAGTCCTTGAGCGAGGGGGTGCGCACGATGCGGCTGTGGGAGGCCACCAGCCTCTGGTAGCGCAAAGGGGCCAAATCCTGCTCGTAGAGGAAAGTCGGGGGTCCGGCGGGGGGCAGGAGGCGGGGGGCACCCCGGGGGTGGTAGCCGGGTTGGGCCAGGGGGAGCGGGGGGCGCGGGAAGGAGACGTCGGGGCTGCTGCTGCCCGGGGAGGTGGCGTGGGAGATGCTGGAGAGGTCGGAGATGCTGTCGTCGGAGCCGGAGCGGTGGGTCGGGGGGTTTTGGGGGGTCAGGCAGGAGGTGGGCACCGTCACCGTGTAGTAGGTGGGGCGGCGGCGGGGGACGGCGCTGCGGCCCCGCGGCTCCCCGGGCTGCCAGCACGTCTCCACCCTGCGGGCAGGAGGACCACGGGTCACCACGTCCCGGGGAAAGGGTGGCCATGGTGGGGGCTGAGCACCCCCATGGGTGCAGCAGCCCCATGGGGTTGGTTCCAGCCTCCTCCCCGTTGGGTTAGCTCCAACCTCCTCCCCATGGGGTCATCTCCATCCTCCCCATTGGGTTGTCTCCAACCTCCTCCCATGGGGTTATCTCCATCCTCCCCATTGGGTTATCTCCAACCTCCTCCCCATGGGGTCATCTCCATCCTCCCCATTGGGTTGTCTCCAACTTCCTCCCCTGGGGTTGTCTCCAACCTCCTCCCATGGGTTGAGCTTCACCATCTCCATAGGGTTAGCTCCATCCTCCCCAAAACCCCCCTCCGTGCAGTTCTTTCCATCCTCCTCCCATGGAGTCATCTCCATCCTCCCTGTTGGGATAGCTCCACCCTCCCCATGCGATTATCTCCAACCTCCTCCCCATGGGTTGAGCTTCATCATCTTCATAGGGTTAGCTCCATCCTCCCCATTGCCCCCTCCCATGGGGTTCTTTCCATCCTCCTCCCATGGGGTCATCTCCATCCTCCCCCTTCAGATATCTCCACCCTCCCTATGGGATTATCTCCAGCCTCCTCCCCTGAGGTTAGCTCCATCCTCCCCATAACCCCCTCCCATGGGGTTCTTTCCATCCTCCTCCCGTGGGGTCATCTCCATCCTCCCTCTTGGGATAGCTCCATCTTCCCTATAGGACTATCTCCAACCTCCTCCCCATGGGGTTAGCTCCATTATCTCCACAGGGTTAGCTCCATCCTCCCCATAACCCCCTCCCATGGGGTTCTTTTCTTCCTCCTCTCATAGGGTTATCTCCAACCTCCCCATGGGGCTATCTTCAACTTCCCCATAGGGTTAGCTCCATCCTCCCCTTGGTGTTATCTCCAACCTCCTCCCTGTGGCATTAGCTCCATCCTCCCCATGAGGATATCTCCATCCTCCTCCTCCTGGAGTTGTCTCCAACCTTCGCCCCATGGGGTTAGCTCCATCTTCCTCCCCACGGGATTACCTCCAACCTCCTCCCCATGGGTTTACCTCCAACCTCCTCCCCATGAGGTTGTCTCCAACCTCTTCCCCATGGCTTTAGCTCCATCCTCTCCAGGGGTTGTCTCCAACCTCCTCCCCATGGCTTTAGCTCTATCCTCCCCAATGAGGATATCTCCATCCTCCTCCCCATGGAGTTATCTCCAACCTTGTCCCCATGGAGTTGTCTCCATCCTCCTCCCCATGGAGTTGTCTCCATCCTCCTCCCCATGGAGTTATCTCCAACCTTGTCCCCATGGAGTTGTCTCCATCCTCCTCCCCATGAAGTTACCTCCATCCTCCTCCCCATAGAGTTATCTCCATCCTCCATCCCCATGGCTTTAGCTCCATCCTCCCCACGGGGTTATCTCCATCCTCCTCCCCACAGCTTTAGCTCCATCCCCCCTTGCAGAAGCCCCCTCCCCATGCACAGGACGTACCTCAGGGACTGGGACTGTCCCCTCCGGCTGGATGGCTCTGGGGTGCTGGGAGCGCTGGAGCCCACCGGCCGGTTCAGCACCAGGGTCCTGAGGGGGACGAAGCGGTGGGGAGGGACGTCCCCCACCCTGGGCACCGGTGAGACCGCGGGGCCGGGGCTGCCGGGGGCGGCCGGCGGAGACCCGGGGTAGCACCAGGACCCCCGTGCTTCCCCATCCCGGGGGTCGACGCCGGGTTTGGTGGCCTTCTCGTAGGCTCTGTCGAGGCTGGTCTCCCTCCAGAGGTTGGGGGGCAGAGGGGGGGTCCCCAACCCCTCCGCTTGGGTGGGCTCTTTGGGGGACGGGGACCTCCGTGGGGCGGCAGATCCCGGCGGCCGCGTCTCTTCTGCGGGGGACACAGAGGGTTGGGATGGAGGGGGACACTTGGGGGGGGGCAAAGTGTGTGTCCCCCCCCCAAACCCCACTCCCTGCACCCCCTTACCCTCCTCCAGCAGGACACCATCGGAGAGGGAGCTCTCGTCGGAGGCGCTGAGCTCTGCGGGACCCCCGGGGGTGGGGGGAACGGGACCAACGGGACCGGGAACGGGAAGAACGGGACCGGGAAGGGGTGAGAACGGGGCCGGGGCCGCCGGCGGCTGCCAAAACTCTCCCACGGCACCCGCTGCCACCCACCGCGTCCCCGGAGGCCTCGGCTCCCGCTCCCCCACCCCGCGTGTCCCGACACGCTGCGGGACGGTGACGGTACCGGCCGGGCCGGCTCTGCCCAGCCCCGTTGCCGGTGTGGCGGCGGGCAGCTCCCAGCCTGCCCGGCTCAAGGGGGTGGTGGGGCAGGTTTTGGGGGGGCACCGGGA